TGTCATGGACAGGTGCAATTTGATTTCATGCTGCACACACTGCATTAAGTTTTCAACTTAACAGCAGGCACAGTGGAGTTACATTTCCTGACCATTTGTCTCCTAATTAACTGAAGTAAACCTTCTACAATATTGCATCATACAATCTTAACTATAAGTTTTATATGGTGCCAGAGGCTGATGGTCTTTAGCATATATGTATATATATATCTGCAAGACCTCTAAGGGTCAAACATGAGGATTCTCTGCAGGGTGACTGCTATTCATGTCAGTAAGTCTTGCTCATGTCCCAACAGGCTGCTGTGGGTCAGTCAGCTCGGACAGAGTGCAGAGTCCATTGACAGGGACAAAGGGAAGCATGAACACATGGGGGATCCATTCAATTGAGCCTGATACCTAAAATGCATTGGTTGACATTTTTCTAACTGACCCAGCCCACACAAGCACATTTCCAACATTTAAAATATGCATAACGGTGATAAAAGCCTCCCCTGCAATGATTTTACTAAACCTGTATTCCAATGCTGATATTAGACAACACAGGCAATGCAAAAAAGGCTTTCAAGTGTATTTTCATTTTGAATTATTTGATATAATCCTTCCACCTCAAGCTCTAGATTTGTAAATGTAACCCATTTATTGTAATGAGCATTAAATCCCCTTACAGTTATGTGTGCACACTCCATTTATTTTTGATTAAAATATCCTGCACATTTTCTGCACACTCCTTGACAAAATGGTAATTAAAGAATACAAATCCTCTCATTGCTTTAATAAAGAAAATTAATTCAGTCCATAGTTTTTTTTTGTATTGTTACAAGATCCTGTGCACATCCCAATCCACACTGAAGTAGTCCTCAGCTTTGTGGGGGATGAGCTATACATTAGAGGAAGTTCATCCAATTTTAACTTATTGAAATGATTATATCCCCTCACAGAGGGCATTCTGTGATTTAATACTGAGAGGGGTCATGGACATTGGTCGTGCATACAGTATAACAGCTTAATATCACAAGAGGTAGCTATATAACTGAATTGCAATGGAAATCATTATTATGTGTTACGTTTTCTTCCCCTTATTTTCTATGTTGCTGCATGTTGCACTTGATTCTTGCCAATAAATAATGCACTAACACATATTGATTAATGCACCTCAAGAGGAAATACTTGGATGTGTGGAAAGGCCCAAAAGCCCACATGTTTTGAGCTTTGCCTCTGATTGGCTCTTTATGGCCAAAGGCAATGAGTGGTCCTTTCACATTGCTATACTAATGTGGATTTCACACCAGAGTTATGAATTATGATTCTATTTAGTTTTATACCTTACTTAATCTGCAAAACTACCAATGGCGAATACACTGAGATTCAGGTTAGTTCAGAAATGGAAAATGTGTGTCTTTGGCCGTGCAGGGGCTGCTTATCTTATACAATGAGCCCTGCCATGTCAAAAGGTTGAAATGATTGATATTTCTTATTTCAGATATTCATAAAGGGCATTCCTTTGACCTTGCAAGTCTCTTTCTGATGCACCAGCATGGCTGATAAACAGCGCAGACCTGAAACCTGACTGTGTATCGCAGTAAACATGACAGCATCTCCCGTGTTTATAGCCACATATGTATAAATCATGTCAGGTGAGACATAAATTCTTTATTTACCTGTATATCAACAACAACATCCATTAAAGTTATGCAGCATTAAACTAGGAGAAAGGTTGATTTTAAGCCAAATAACTGTTTATCAATAACGATGCCACGCATCAGTCATAGTTTATTATAGAGTGTGTTATTGGATTATAAGAAATTATGCTGGCTGCAGTTTAATTGCATCATTCTCTTTGTCAACTCTACTCTGCCCACATGCTGGCGCTTCTCTCAATCTTTTTACTATCCAAGTCTTAAGTTAGAACTCTGCAGCTTTATGAATCACCTCATTGACAGTGAGTTAGGTCATAAGCACCCCCAGGCATCGATAATTACGGTCTGACATGTCCTGCGCGGCAACACGCTGACCGTCAAGTTTAGTTAATTGCCACAAAGACCAATGTGCTATGACACTGATGACATATAACACCCAATGAGACAAAAAAACAGTGCAGTACAGTATGTTGCCAAAGCAACTTAACAAGCTTTGGTGGTTAAATTAAAAAAGAGGTAAATACACTTGGTGATAAGGTGCTAGATTTTGCTTCAAGGAAAGTTTGATCACCATTCTTAGACACCCAATGTATTCTTTTGTGACTGTAAAGCATTTTATATTGTGCCTCCCAAAGGCTTGGATGTGATCTGAAAAGTAAATTAAATTAGACAGTGCTTAAGGTGGAAACAGTGCACCAACCACGGTTATGATGAATGAATGGTGACAGTTGTCTCCAGCGCTGCGTGTTACATGAACTTGTACAGAATTTTGTCTGACAACTGCAGTCAGACGCTAATGCATCAATAACACATTATTACTTTCCTGTCTGGCACAATCAGCAATAACCTACATTTCTCAGGTGTATTTATTTAACAAATGAGAGGCAGAGAAGGAAGGATTTTGCAGGAAGCCATGTAGGTGCTATAAATCCAAAATGCCATTTAAAACTGCCACCAGAGTCACCTCTTTGGGTTCTGGGCCATGCATGAACACATTAATGCATTGTATATCGTTGATGCCTGAACAGTGTACAGAGTAAAAGATGCCCAGTTTCAGCGCTATTGACAGAGCTAGACAGCATTAAGAGTATGATACTGTTGTTTGTTTGTTTAGCATAACGATGCACATTCTTTCAGTTTCAGCACCATGTCCATGGCTAATATTGCTGTTTGTCCTAAATGTACTAAAGCCTCTCAGTTTCAGCACCATGGACAGGGCTTAGTGATTCTAAATGTGTGATACTGGTGGACATTTGTCCTAAATGTACTATTCTCCCTCAGTTTTAAGAGCTGGGTGATGTTAAGAAAATGCTACTATTGTTGGTTTGTTCTAAATTGTTCATGTTTAAGCACCATGGACAGGGCTGGAACAATATGTCATGTCCACTATTTACTATATAGTTATCTTCACAATTTTCAATGTTGTCCAAATGTCTAATAAAACTTACAGTGTATCTTGTATAGCAGACTCATAATATTCTATAGTGCAGTGACAACGGTGTTGTAGAATGAGTGGTCACACACCATGAAACAACTAGCATTATGCAAACAGAAAAAAAAAAATGTATATATATATATATATATATATAATATAATATAATAAATCCCCCCATGAAGTGCATATTGAAAGAAATTATACATTTCAGTCACAGCTTACTGTTGTGAGTTTATTTCTGTCTATTCCTCCAGTCTTCCATTGACAGGGCTAGGTGGGTTTAAGAATATGTCTTTGACTGAAATTATTCACCATTAAATATCACTTTATAGTATGTTCAGACTATCCCATAATATAATGCAGTATCTCACTAATTAACAACCAGCATCATTCATTGTGCAGACAGAATGAGATGTATATTTAAGTGTTTGCGATATTAAAGAAATTACCCCAGTAGTGTCTGAACCTTTTTTTTTTTTTAAATCCATCTGACATGTGTAGTCCCCTACATAGTGATCCTATGTGTAGTGTGAAGTGACTACATTAATCATTTTATAATTGGGAGTTGTTGAGAACATTTTCTTTGTTTGTTTGTTCTAAATATTTCTGCACTCCCTTACTTTCACACAAATAGTTTGCCTTCAATGTTTTGCACTCCCTCTGTTTCAGCAGCATGCACAGGGCTGGGAGAAGTTAAGAGTATAGTACTGTTTGTCCTAGATGTGCTACATTTCAGTTTCAGCACCATGGACAGGACTGCGTAATAATAAAAGTATAGCTGTGTCCATACTACATAGTAATTATATACAGTACTATGACACAAATTGTCTCAACATACGTAATCGTTTCATACTAACAGGCAATTATACAATATGTGCCGACAATGAATGTCAGTCAAACTGCGACTTCAGAGCCAATTACTTCCCTAACAGAGAGCAAAATGTTTTTTTCCAAAGACCTGATAATTATTTTGTTGTTGTTGTTGTTTTTAATCATTTTGTATCATCATCGGAAATGAGTTTGAATGTTTTCCAGCTGTGAGGTTCTCCTCCATTTTCTTGCATCAAAGGGAGATTCAAAATCATGCATTTTGAGCATGCATTCTGACTTGTTTGCGTGTACTTGATTAAAAATACTAAAACTTGCTTGGAATCATTAAGTAGAATGTAGTATGTAATGGGGACACAGCTACTGGCACCACTGTTTGTTCTGAACTGTACACTACAAGTACAGTTTCAGCACCATGGACAGAGCTGGGGAATATCAGATATGCTATACTGTTGCTTGATTGTCATGTTCGCCAGATTTCAGCACAACGGACAGCGCTGGCATGATACTGTGGTTTGTGTGTCCCGAACGTGCTCCTCTCCCTCGGTTTCAGCACCATGGACAGATCCGCGTGCTATTACGAGTATGATGCGGTTATCTTTTTTTTTTTTTTTTCCCCTAAATGTGCTACACCTACATACGTTGACCACCCCCACCGTAATAACCCGCACGCCTCTCCCCCTTCATTCCTCATAAGAGAACAGAAGCATGCGGTGTGTGAAAGCTTCTGCCGAATGAAATGAAAGCATGTCTGGATGCCGCCGTGGCGCTGACACCGAGTGAGCTCTGCATCTTTAAAACAGAAAAAAAAAAAAAAAAAAAAGCCAGGGGAAAACACACAACCAGCTCAGTCATAACTGTGGGATGATAAGGACTACCTCTTTTTACTTTTGGAGAGAGCCAAGCCGTTAGGAGAGCATTCAGCATCAGCTGTTCAACACTGGTCTCTCATTGCTGGAAGTCGGGGCTGAATCAGTCACATGACAGAACTGGAGGCAGAGATCTAGAGAAAAGGCACAGCATTTCGGCTTGCACCGCCATACTGTATTTTGAGCCATATCACATTTTTATTGCAACATTTTACTCCCGCTCGGTGAGTACATTTCCAATGGCTTTTTTGTAAGCATTTTTTGTCTTTTTAATTGCCCCCTTTTTTATTTTTCCTCCTTTTGCTGGTGTTTGAATTTGAGCATTGACATGGTGGTTTTGAGCGTTTTTCACATCCAGGCTTCAAGTTTTTAGCATGCAGTTATTCTGATCGAGAGTGCCAAGAGGGTAAACGGGTGCGATATCGGTCTTGAGAAAAGCCTTTACTTGCTTGCAGTTTTGTTTCGAGGGTCGAAACCAAGCAGCTTTTGTCAGTATTGAGATTTTTCAAACATTTATTGGTGGTTTTGAAACATTTTTATTTTTTGTTTCTGTCGACTTTTGCTGTTGCTATGCTTTGGTTTGCATTTTGCAGTGTTGTTTGTTGCCTTCGAGTTTTGTGATTTTGATGTCTCGGTGGATCTCACCGATCAAACCCTTTGCTTTTACTTTGTTTCCTCTTTTCTTTATAAAAAGGGAATCATTTTTAAAGCCCGGTGACATTTTAACGTGCTACTTTTCTTGCAGCTGAGCTCACAGGTTTGTTGTTTTTGTGTTTCTCTCTTTTTTCGATTTCATTATACTTTTGCTGGTGGCAGTGTCAAGTATTTTTGGATGTTATCATTTTTTTTGACTAGATGATGCTGGGTGGACGAGGGGAGTTTTGATTCTTGGGGGAGTTCAATGCGTTTTTGTTTTCTGTATCAACGAGGATGAACAGACATTTTCCCCTTTGCAGGTATATAATGAGTGGATGAGTGACACGTTTTTGTATTTACAATAAAGAATAAGGTGACAGAAATATGCACCTGTGGCTGACGTGTTATTTCGTAAGGCTGGCCAAATTGCTCATTAGAGAAGGCATTTCTTTATCAATGTTATCTGAAGGTTACCTGATCTGATCGAACTGTCCGTTTTGCCTCATAAAAAAAACAAAAACAAAACAAAACAAAAAAAGCAAGTGACGTGACCAACAATGCAAGACCAAGGATTTGGAAATCACACGCAGGTCGTTTGATCCCAATGATTTCTCTGTTTTTGAGTTCAACAATCTTCACGCCGTCGCAGCAGCTGAGGAATAAATGTAAGTAGCTGCATTCAGGTCCCTTTGGAAGGATGCACTGTAAGGACTGTAATGATCTCCCACAGATAAACTATCAAAAACTCCATCCATGTATCGACTTGGAGGAGCTGTGGCAACTATTTCCATTTTGCTGCAGCTGGCGTTTCTTTAAACTGCAGTGAGCTATGCCACCAAGTTGGGTTAAAATAATTAGGATATCCACAGTTTGCACTACAGTGTGTCATGGGCAAAGTACAGCTACACTTAAGTGCCCTCCTTATTGCTGGACAAACTCAAATCGGCTTTTTGTAGGCCTAGATTAATAAATACTCTTGGATTTGTCACATCTGATTTTGCAGGAAATGAATAGAGCCACTGACAGGACTAAAAGAGGACTTAGAGTGAATTAATCCTTCAAGAGGCAGGTTTAACTTCAGATTATTGGTGTGCTGCAGCGGGAAATGCAAACATGAGTAAATAGATGTCATGTAGTCTTCTTAGGAGAGAGGGCATGTATTGCAACCAGTACTGGAATTATTTTCCTGTGTTTTGTAGGCTACAGTACTGCTGTATCTTCTGTGACGAGATGTTTGAGCTTCTGTTACATCACTGTCTTGTCTATGAACCTTCCTCCAAGTGTTTTTTTAGGAGATGAGTCCATAGTCAAGGAGTACTGGTTCTTAACAGAAATTCATAAACCTTACTTGACTTGTTTTGGACTACTCCTGGACTAATATAACTATTTTTTTTTTTTTTAAAAAGTGTTGGTTTTAGTAATGGCTTTCAATTGTAAGAAAGAAGTTCAGCCACATGTGCATCAGAACTCATCAATTTACTCGTTTTTGATCCATATGCATTAAGTTTAGCAGATCACGGGTTTTGTCAGTGTAATATTGTAGGCCTATAAAATATATGAGAGTGGACAATTAAGTCTGAGTATGGACCATTAAGTCCCAGTGTCATTAAACAAGCCGGATCAGGATCACTACAGTTTAATGTGGCGAAATGCAATACTGATAATTATGAAAACACTCAGGTAAACTTACATTTTCAATAAGGCAAACTGATCAGGGCAATTAAGATAATACATTTCATTATGTATTGAAAAGCTGTTATCGTGCATTGATTTCCGAGAGCTGAGAGCCACAGGGAGATTTTAATGATTTTTAAGTTGTGAGACAATTTAGAAGCAGTAGTCCAATCAGGAAGACTTCTCTTATAGTCTTTGCGTACCGTTTGGTTGTATCACAGGCCCCTCAGAGACCGTCATTAGACCAGTTCAAATGTGTGAATTTACCAGCAAGCCTGGAAGTTATTGAGAGGACGGATGTACCAATTCAATCCAATGGTTCGCAATGATTGAATGCATCATCAAGTCTCATCTTTTGCCCATGATTAGATCTCATTCTACAACAAAGCTCTACAAATCTACAAAGTTGTTAAGCTGATTCAGTCATCAATAGTTACACGTTCAAGTCTTAGACAAAGTCACTAGTTAAAAGAATGACTTTAATTGTCAAGGTCTTTATTTGTAGCTTCAAACCAGCATCTCATTGTGATGATGTTTTCAGCAACTTGTTCAGGGCAACGCACTCTCCCTCCTGTTTATCTCTGCAGAATGGCGCCCCAAAATTTGCTCAATTCAATCAAGCTGAGGGTTTTACAAAACGTGTCACTGTGTAAACAGTCGTTTGTTGGCAGCATTGAAATACAAACTCCTTCAGTGGCATAACTTAAATTTTAACTTTAAATAGATTCCGATTGACTAAACATTTCAAATCTTGGCTTTCAAACCTCGAATCGCAGCATCATAACACATCGACATTTCTTCACCCTCCTAGATGAGAGGTGTTTCTGCCATGTCGCCACAGTACGAGCTCCTGGACATCTCTCCTGCTAAGCATTATGATAGCTTCTATTACGTCCTGCGGTGTTGTGTCTCCCCTCCAGGCAGGTTTCCTGTTATCTAGGCCAAGCCAGACCTGCACAGGAGACTTGCAGAGAAATATGATAGCTCATGAATGGATATAACTCTGATACCATGAATAAAACATCACGCAAGAGAAACTTGTACACACTAAGCATGTGCTTAACTATGGGATGTATGTGCATCTGCATGCATGCTTGTTGGTCTGAATGTGAGTGAAAGAACAGTTTCAGCGTGACAGAGGTGGACAAATAGAAACATAATCAGTATGCTGTGCGTTGCATCTTTTCACATGGTGTATAATTATTGTGGGGTGTTGGATTCAGTAGCACATGTTATGACCAATTATGTTACAAATGCATCTTTTGTTGTATTTTTAACAAGCATTGCTTTTGCTCAGCTTGTTTAGTCTCAGTTTTAGTACACATACACTGCAGACAATCTAAATGTCAACTATCTGACTGAAGAATATGTAGAAAAGAATCCAACTCTAAGGTTTGCTGTTTTTACATTTAATCAATGCTTCAGTTCAGACTTTTGTTTTTTTTCAGTCACTGTAAGATGTTGAAAGGAAGTCTGAAAGTTGTATAAGAAACAGCAGTGGAGCTTTAGTGGGTTTATTGGCTTTCTTCTTCAATAAATTCATACAAGTTTCATTGTGAATTCCCTGTTATGACCTAACATAATGTGCTACCTGCTAAGTCAATCTAAAGTTTACACTCATACTTATTTATTACTTATTTCTTTTGACTTGTTTTGAGTCGGAAACCACTCCGACATTGCTCAGATGTAACTAATATCTAAGGGAGTAGGTTTATACTGAGACCCATCAAAAATAATGCTGCATTTGCATCTTTACAGCAAAGAGCACTGTCCTTATTAGAATACTGTTAATTATAAATAAAAACAGATTAAATGATAGATTTTCTTCTTTTTTCTAAGACAAATACAGAAGAGGTGGAATGTTTTTTTTAGCCATAACAACCTCCATCAAGAAAAAATGGTCGCTTTATGTGTCCTGAAACACAAAATCTGGGGCAAAAAGTAAAACTAAATGACTCGTTGCTGCTCTTAAAGCACACCGTATTAGGCAACTCAAACGAGCATATCAACATTTTTATCAACTCAGAGCTTTTTTCATCGGAAATTTGGCAGCTGGATAGCCTCACCCATATCTCTATGACCTGGAGTATCAAACTAAAACTGACATGCACATCATGTTTTAGTCTCTCAATGAGGCATTCTTTTCCTGCTCCCCCCTTTAACAGATAAACAGCTTACCTTTGGCATGACTCATTCTGCTGAAACGAGTGTTAAGTACTTTACTGTCCTTTTCTGAGCTGTTAATTTGATAAGTGAGGGGATCTCACACTTCATATTCTGGGCAATTAAACCCATATCTGAAGAATAGGGTCAGGCTGAATGACTTTCCAGTGTCTATTATGGGAACCATTTGAGTTATAGTGCATCACATTAATGAGCCGTCTGCACCGACATGCTAAGACCTGATTGTACTTTTAGAATTTTAGATAAAAGCTACATTTTGTTATATTTAATTAACATTTGGTCATGGGTGTGTCATTCCTTGTAACTTGATAATGCTAATAGAAACATCAAAGAAGTTAGAAAGCAGTGATTCTTTTAACTAAAATTATTTTCTCTAACCTTTTTATTTGATTAGAATTTAGAAAACAAGACACAGAGTGAGAGCTGGTGTGTGTGTGCATGTGTTTGGGTAAACAAAGTATAAATGCAGTTTAAATATAATCAGTTAAGCAGCAATACTTTCAATTTCTCAGAGGAATATTACTTTTTCTATTTTTAGAAAGAAATGAGGTCCATGCAGTCTAATAAGGAGTATAAAGAGAAAGTGTTTATGCTGTTGTCCATCAGTGTGCAGATATCGACCCAGCCAAGCTGATAGCTTCCAGGTCACATCTGTTTCAAGTCCACATATTCAATAGAATTTGTAATCACATTGTTCATCAGTTTACATTCAGCAGCATCAAAACATTCATAGTTTTCAGATTACATATAGATTCAGCATCACTGCCCCCAATACCTACATGTATTGTTTTTCTTATCAGACGGGAATAAATCAAAATTCACCTCCTGACATTTTCTGCAGCAACGTATTTTTCCTCCAATGCCCCATTATTAAACTGTAATTTTAGTCATTGTTCGTACACAAGCTTGTTTCATGCTTTAACTTTTTTTTACATTCGTCTGTGGCGCATCATCATTAAAGTTTAACCCACAGGCAGGAAGAGGACCGTACTAAAGATGATTCGCCAGTTTTCTGCTCAAGTCTGTCTTTTCTGAAAATAATGGAAAGTCCCCTCTTGGGTCTATATAGAAATATGGAAATATGGCAATAATATTTTGGCAGAATGCAACAGTGTTGCTCCATAAATCATTATGAATATAATGCATACATATACACCAAATCACACTTATGTACATACAAATTATTAGAAAAAAAACAGGAGAATGAAACAGAGGTAAATCAATCGAAAGCAGTAAGTAACTAGTAAGAGTAAGTCATTTAGTACAGTAAGTGGAGTAGTAGAAACGTGATGCCACGTGAAAAGGCAAGCTGAAGTTAGAGATAGAAAATTACTTTTTTACTCTCCCACCAGAGTGAAAATTTTCTTTATTTTACTCAAACATAAAAAAAAACACTAAACATAGAACAGAGCAGAGCAAATAATAGTAACAGAGCACCACCAAACAAAGGGCACTATAAAAA